AATAGTAACATCATGAAACTTATTATACTATAACTACACAAGAATGACATGTCTTATATCACGTATAATGATCCATGGACACGAAATAAATTAAACGAAATGAAATGAAATAGGTTAAAGCCGATAATACCACTGTATACAAACGTCATTCTCAAACTTGAATTTGCTATATATACCTACATATGTCGCGCAACATGCGCTAATACAATATTCATGTTTCTAATTACCTTCGACACTACGAAGAGTTTCTTTCCTGTCCACAAACGACTCAAACTCAAAATTGATTCATTTACATACTTCAACACCGGAGCCATATTGTAAGACATTCTCGATACCACTTTCATCGATAATTATACTTTCGCATTCCGTGAATCCGGAATGGCTACTTCCATGGAAATACAATAAATGTGGGCCAGTGCATGGGAATAGCCCAAACAACGAACTCGTTTTCCAGTAGATGGAAGGACAACGGGCAGAGAGTTCCTTGAGTAACGACAGATGAAGTCAAACACTTCTACAACGTGTTCTATATCGTTCTGTATTGAATAAGGCTAGCATTTAGCGGCCTCCGTAGTCTAGGGGTAACGTTCCCACCTCATGACTCAAGGTACACGGGTTCAAACCCGGCGGAGGTCGTGGTATTTTTAAGGGCGGAAAAATTCAGGGAACAAGCCGTGGGTCCTGTGTCGTAGATTTACGGCACGTAGTTTCCAATGCCTCTGATAGATGGGGGAAATATCAGGTACCGAGGACCGACCTCGTTGGCTGAACGGGGCTAATAGCACGCACCAGTACCGGTAGGGTATGGCGACAGTAGAAATTAAAGCGGGACGCACAATGGCGGGTTGTGTGGAGAGCGGTATTAACCGCGCTACGGTATTAATTACTAATAATGATGAGCTGAATGAAATAGCGTGTATTTGCTGTGCAGAGCTTGAATTAGAATTGGAAAGGACTCGAATTGAACTCAGATCAACTAAAAAAATTATTGAGTTGCTACAGGAAGTGATATATAGAGTTGAATTAGAGGTTATGAACGGTACAGTCGGTGGAAGCAAGAAAGACAGTGGAAGTGCCCTTCCTAACGAGGATTATAAATTGATATGTGGGAACATTCCACATTATCACGCATTTCTGCAACGCTCGCTCTTCACATCACTTTTCACCATCACGCGCGCTAACCAATCAGATCGTCAGAGTCAGAGAGTCAGAGTCACGTTGCAACTGACGGTCAGTCAGTCTGTCTGTCTCATGACCAGATATTTCTCTTGAATGAAAGTTACTGTCTTCTCTATGTGTAGCGCCCTCTCTGACGAGAGGTCGGGTCTGTCATTTGTCAGCCAGTCTGTAGTATTAAGTCCACTGTCTGTATTTACACATATTTATAATACACTTATTTCTCATTTAAATGTACAATATATACACGGCCTCCGTCAGTCCAGGCTAGGTACAGCAGATTATG